CCTCACTCTGACCATTTCCCCCCCCTCCTCCCTCCCATTCCCTCCCCTCACACTGACCATTCTCCCCCTCCTGCTCCCTCCCTCCCTCCCCCCCCGACCATTCCCCCCTCCTCGCTCCCCTCCCCTCCTCCCCTGACCATTCCCCTCCTCGCTCCCTCCCTCCTCTCCCCTCACCCTGACCATCTGCCCCGCTGCTCGGGTCCGACTCAACTGTACAGCGCTTTGGGCCGTCCTCCCAACATGAAAGCGCTCTATAAATGGAATCTTGTTGTTGTTGTTGTTGTGGATCTGGAGGGCGTTAAGAGCAGATTGACCAGAATGAGACCGGGGCTTAAAGGGTTGAATAACAAGGACGAGTTGCACGGACTTGGTCTCTATCCTCCTAAATTCAGAATGTTGAGAGCTGATCCGATGGAGGCGATTAAAATAACCTGGTCATTCGGTAGCGCAGATACAGACAAACTATTTGCTTCTGGTGAGGAATCCAGGACAAGGGTATAAATCTGAAAATCAAAGCCAGACCAGTGAGGAGTGAGATCAGGAGACAGTTTGTCACCCAAAGATCTCTCTCTCTCTCTCTCTCTGTCTCTCTCACACACACACACACATACACACTGTGGATCCATTCAGGTTGGGTCGTTAAGTATTTGTCAGGTATTAAGGGATTAGCGGCAAAGAGCGGGCGCCTGGACTTCAGGTACAGAACAGACGTGATCTTAGATAATGTGGGAACAGGCTCGAGCGGCCGCTTCTACGTCTGTTTCTATGTCGCATTCAGGATTTAAGCAGGACTTACACGTTTACTAAACAGCACTTAGTCATAAACGTACTAACATTTCTCGCCCTCCACGGTTGGCGTCGGTGAGGAGACAGAGGGTTTGCAGTCGACGACCGAAGCTCCGGCTTTTTTGTTCGGCATCTGACTCACTGTTTGTACCGAAAGACAGGAAACCAGACCGCAGGGGGACGTGTAGAAGCTGAACTCACAGCCTCCGGTCCCTCTCGGCTGCCGACAGTCACGGCCCGAGAGCAAAGGGCAAAAAACAACATGGGAATCCAACACCGCTCAGATGTACCGTCGACGCACAGCGACAGCTCGAACCGGGGCCGTTTGTTTCGCTGACCACCAGACGGCTGAGAATGTAGGTTTGGCGTCGATGCTGTTCGTTTGACCGCGTAGTGTTGAGGTTACGTGCGTTCCCCAAATCGGGGCGTAACTCGCACACGGCCCTGATCCGCAGTTTATATCTTTATTAAGCACATAAACAGCAGCGTTTCCTCAAAACGAACCACTTCCTCTCGGGGCCTTCAGTGAGACGCATTTAACCAGTCACTGACTGGAACCCAGAGACGCACAGACAGAGAGAGAGAGAGAGACACAGACAGACACACCACAGACAGCGAGAGGGAGACGCAGACACAGAAATACACACACACACAGGGACAGAGAGAGTGAGAGAAAGAGAGATACAGACGCAGAGAGTGACACAGAGGCAAACTCAGAAAACATAGCGACAGACAGAGATCAACCCACAGAGAGAGAGAGACACACAGAGAGAGACACAGATACAGACACAAGACGCGGAATGTGAGATACAGATAGACATACAGACGCAGAGAGAACTAACGCGTCTCAACGCACACACACGCCCGCACACACGGAGTTGCGCAGATACACACAGACAGAGAGAGAGACACACATACACAGAGGGAGAGATACCCTCGCTCCTCCCTACCTCTGCGACCTGCTCACTGCACCCCCTATGCCCCCCCCCTCCCCACCAACACCCGCTGCCTCCAGATGTCTGTCTCCGGCCTCCAACATGCCCTTCGCTCCACTGTCGACGGCGGTGCCTTCGGTCACGAGTCCCCTAACTCAATCCCTCCGCCTCGCCCCGTCCCGCTACAACATTCAGCTCCTCCTTAAAGACCTTTCCTTTCTGATGGCGTTGACCGTCACCCCCTCCCTCCCGCTCCACCCCGGCTCGGGGTCAGGCTCCACCACGCAACACACGAGGTCTCCAGGACCGCACCCCCGCGTGACTGGCGCTGCGCGAACGCAAGTTGTTCTTGTGGAGGTTGCGTTAATAATAATAATAATAATAATAATCCTTGCATTTGATATAGCGCTTTTCACGTCGGGAGGACGTCCCAAAGCGCTTCACAGAATAGACTAAAGTGAATTGACTGTATATTTGTGGTCGAACGCGGCAGCCAATTGCGCACAGCAATGTCCCACAAACAGTCGTAGATTGAAAATGACCAATTTATTATTGTTTTTGGTTTTTGGAGGATTATTATTAGGCTCTGTGTGGAGTAAGGAAACTTGCCCAAGGTTTCGCCCTCTGCCTGGAAAGCTACAGGGGCTCCACCAACCTGCCGATGTCAAGTGACCTGGCGATGAGGTTGAACGTTAAGGTCAATGATGCCCTGAGCCTACCTTGGGCAGATCTCTGTGTCCAGTCGCTGACGGGGTGGTTCGGCCTCAGACACAGTCACCTACAAAGCCTCCGTCCGGCCGCTGCCCGGCTTCTTGTGGCACGACTTTCTCTCCGACGCCGTTGGTCTCCAGTTCATCGCCGTGAGCTTGAAACCACTGATTGGTTGGGAGGAAGAGAAGCCTTCAGCGGACAACCTCCTCCTGCCATCTTAGACACCTGCCACCCACCCCCACCCACCACCACCACCGCCCCCCACAACACAACCCACCCCCAACCCCTCACGGTTAGAGTCCAGCCGTTAACCCAAACCACAACCTCTGGTTCCCCGAGTCTCGACTCTTGCCAACCTATGCCCGATACCCTCCGGAATTGAGTAAGCAGGAAGGCATCCCTCCAGGGAGAGAAGCCCATTCCGACAAATCTCTCCCCGGGATGTGCATTGACGCGGGAGGGATATGTGTGGAATTCTCAGCTTGAGTTGGATATTCCCAAGGAAGCTGACGGGTTCCCACATTTGTCGGACGCCCCGACCGGTCACCCTGATGGGCTCGCGTGTGCGTCAGGCACACTCGGGTGGTAGGGTGAGGGTGGAGGGCCATCTGGGAAGTGGTTCTCGAGCTGCGTTGGGCCTCGGGCTGCCATACGGACCCCCTGATATAAACCCGCAGCTGATGGTCCGGAGCGGATGGATGATTTAATGCTGCTGGGGTCACACACGGCCCTGGACAGGGTGAGCAAACAGTGCGAGTACTGCCCTTCCCCCACACCACCAACCCCCCACCACCACACACACACTGCCCTCCCTATGTCTACTCACACTCACTCACTCTCACTCCCAGACTCACACTCACTCACATAATCACAGACTCTCTCACTCACACACACACTCACTCACAGACTCTCACACACACACACTCACAGACTCTCACTCACACACACTCACAGACTCACTCACACACTCACAGACTCTCACTCACACACACTCACAGACTCTCACTCACACACACAGACTCTCACTCACACACTCTCACAGACTCTCACTCACACACTCAGACTCTCAATCACACACTCACAGACTCTCACAAACTCTCTCACTCACAGACTCTCTCACTCACTCACACACACTCTCTCCCTCTCTCTCTTTCACTCTCTCTCTCTCATACTCTCTATCTCTCACACACACTCTCTCTCTCTCATACTCTCTATCTCTCTCACACACACTCTCTCTCACACACACACTCTCTCTCTCTCTGTCTCACACTGACCTGAGCCGCTATCGGGGCTCTGGTTGTCCGCTCTCTCTGTCTCTCTCTCTCCGGTCAGTCCTCGGCCACGTTTGAAGCGCTCCTCCGCCAACCGTCACTGTGTCCCCGCCCCCTCGCTCCCCATTGGTCCATTACCGACACGCACGGTCCCGCCTCCCGTCTGCCGGAGCTTCCCATTGGTTCGTTTGGTTGCCATGCTCCGTGATAGGTTGAGGTGTACGTCAATCATCGCTAAGTGTCCCCGTCCCTCGCTCTCCCCATCGGCCCATTCCCGACGCGCGCGGCCCCCGCGCCCCCTCAGCCGGAGCTTCCCATTGGTTGGTTAAGTTGTCAAGCTCCGTCATAGGTTGATGTCTACGTCAATCACCGCTATGTGTCCCCGCCCACTAACTCACTCACTCCCTATTGGTCCAATCGCACCACCTGACCCTCCCCTCCCCTCACACTGACCGCTCCCCCTTCCTCCCTCCCTCCTCCTCCCCCTCCTCCTCACTCCCCTCCCCCTCCACTCCCCCTGATCACTCCCCCCCTCCTCCCTCCCCCTCATACTCACCACTCCCCCTCCTCGCTCCCTCCCTTCCCTCCCCCTCCCCTCACACTGACCACTCCCCCCTCCTCCTCCCCCCTCCTCCTCACTCCCCTCACACTGACCACTCCCCCTCCTCACTCCCTCCCTCCCTCCCCTCACACTGACCACTCTCCCTCCTCCTCCTCACTCCCTCTCCTCCCACTCCCGAGGAGGGAGGACATGGTCAGGGGGAGGGGAGGGAAGGAAGGGGGCGAGGAGGGGGGAGATGGTCAGGGTGAGGGGAGGGAGGGAATGAGGAGGGGGAGTGGTCAGTGTGAGGGGAGGGAATGAGGGAGTGAGGAGCGGGGAGATGGTCAGGGGGAGGGGAGGGAAGGAAGGGGGCGAGGAGGGGGGAGAGAAAGAGAAAGGTCTTGAGACCGGCCTTGAAGGAGGAAAGGGAGGAAGTGGCGAAGGCACTGGGGATGGAGTTCCAGAGCCTCGGGGCTGAGAGGCTGAAGGCCACTGATGGTCGGGCGGTTGGGGCGGGGGATGTGGAGCAGACCGGAGCCGGAGGGACGGAGGGTACGGGCGGGTACGTGGGGGGATAGTAGGTCGGAGAGGGAGGAGGGAGTGAGGCCGGGAATGGCCTCGTAGGTGAGGATGAGGATCTTGAATTTGATCCTCTGGGGGATGGGGAGCCAGTGGAGGCGAGCGAGGGCGAGGGCGAGGGCGAGGACCAGAGTTTCAGCCGCGTGAGGGGTGAGGTAGTGCCGTAGTGGCCACGTTCCGGAGGTGAAGCGATTATAAACAAAGTTAAATTCAAGAATGATAATCATTGATTTACACACACGATCAACCGGTAGATCGTAAACGTTGGGCGGATTGAACCCCTCCGAACACTGAGGCACCACATGTATTTTCAAGAGCGTGGACTGGGTCCGGCTTTCCAAACGGAAACCCGGTTTGATTCAGAGACGCGGAAATAGCCGGTGACCTGAGAAGTCATCTGCAGCAGACGTTGCAGACGTTCTTGTGTCCCGCTCAGGCTTATGTGGTGAGTTGGATTGACCGCTCTTCTATGGCCAAATAAAACCTTGACCTGCCACGGACCGTGCTGCGTGGGCGGTTGTATTTTTAACCTGTCGCTGAGGACACCCACTGGTTCAGACAGACTTGAAGAGCGTTCGCTTTCGGAAACAATCACTCAAATCGAGAAGGATGTGAGCAGAACTGATCGAACTGAGTGAAGGGCGGTTTGATTCACAGAGCCGTGGAATTACAGAGCGCAAAAGGAGCCCATTCGGACCCTGGGAGCACTTGGAAAGAGATATAACTTTCGATCCCGCTCCCCCCGCGCTCTCTCCCCATAGCCCTGCGAACTTGTCCTCCTCAAATAACTATCTACCTCTTTCTTAAACGTGAAGGTAAACAGGAATGATGTTTTGCTCGTCCGACACAAGGTGAGGTTTCAGGAGACTTCGTCACGCAGTTGGTCCTCGAGACGTGCAAACCTCCCGACCGGCAAGCCAACGGCAGTCTGCTCCGCCGATGGCCTTAATCCGTGATATTTTGCAGCGAGAAACGCTGACGATTAAATTTGGACGAGTTGTCCCGAAGCTCAAGAGGGTGAGGGTGAGGGCGAGGGTGGGAGTGATGTGGTCGCGGTGTCTGGTGCGGGACAGTACACGAGCTGCAGAGTTCTGGATGACCTGCAGTGTAGAGGGAGGGCCGGGAAGGCCGACGAGGAGAGAGTTCCCATAGTCCGGCCTTGAGGTGATAAAGGCTTCATAAATCACTTTGATGTTGGCGAAAAAATAAAAAGACTCTCTTCATCCAAACGGTGATTGGCCAAGAACGTTATTTTATGACCATTTAATTTATTTAATGGTACGTTTGTGTGCAGCTTCTGTTCAAGATGTCCGAGTGGGATGACCTTTCTCAGAAGGTTTGCTGTAAAATAATACGTTCACAGGCCATCCCGAACCGATTCTGTCCGGTTTGTACGAGAGGACTAAAAGACGTATAACGGTTTGTGGCGCGTAAGGACAATTCTAAATAAAAATCCGGTCCGCTTCACCTGGTGTGAACCTGTTTGACTGTGAGAACACATGCGCAGAGCCAGTAATAATAATAATAATAATATTAATAATAATCCTTGCGTTTGATATAGCGCTTTTCACATCGGGAGGACGTCCCAAAGCGCTTCACAGAACACACTGTAAAGTGAATTGACTGTATATTTGTGGGCGAATGCGGCAGCCGATGGCGCACAGCAATGTCCCACAAACAGTCGTAGATTGAAAATGACCAATTTATTATTGTTTTGGGTTTTTCGGAGGGATTATTATTAGGCTCTGTGTGGAGTAAGGAAACTTGCCCAAGGTTTGGCCCTGACCTGCCTGGGATTGAACTCGGGTCTCACGCTTGCAAAGCGAGTGCTCTAACCACAGAGCTACAGGACTCCACAAAAAAAACCCCGCAGTAAATTGTTCAGCTCGCCTACAGGAACCAAGATAGCACCATCTGGTAACGACTTCAATTGTTTTTTATAGTCCAAACCGCCCGGTTCCCGAGGAAAGCAGAAATAACAGGATGCTCGACATTCGGCCACTAAACGTCTGCGCAGTCTATGCTCATTGATTGGATGACCAAAGAGGCGTGAGACATGGCACGGATAGGATAAGAAAGGTGCGGAGCTGAAAGTTTGCGAGTGAAAGGACTCGGCGGGGAACAGAGGAAGGGCCAAAGCGTGCTGACTGCTCCAGAACTGGTAATATACCTTGGATGTATTTTTCTCTACTGTGTACCGGATCTTTTGGCTGAACTAAGTTAGCCACCAACTTAATATCGTGTGGTCATTAATATTTAGTTTTACACTTATCATTCCGTCGTCCTTTCTTGGCCTATTGAGGTGTCAGAATGGCTCCATTGGCAGAACTTTAGCCCGAGACCACCTTTTAAAGTCCTTGCACTACCCTCATCCTCACCTACGAGGCCATTCACGGCCTCGCTCCCTCCTACTTCTCCGGCCTACTATCCCCCTACTTACCTGCTTGTACCCTCCGTTCCTCTGGCTCCGGTCTGCTCCACATTCCCCGCCCCAACCGCCCGACCATCGGTGGCCTTCAGCCCCTCAGCCCCGAGGCTCTGGAACTCCATCCCCAGTGCCTTCGCCGCTTCCTCCCTTTCCTCCTTCAAGGCCGGTCTCAAGACCTTTCTCTTCGACCGTACCTTCAGCTCTCCTCTCGACTCTCTACCCCCTCCTCGCCCCCTCCCTCCCCTCCCCTCACCCTGACCATTTCACCCCCTCCTCGCTCCCTCCCTTCCCTCCCCTCACCCTGACCATCTCCCCACTCCTCGCTCCCTCCCTTCCCTCCCCTCACCCTGACCATCTCCCCCCCTCCTCGCTCCCTCCCTCCCCTTCCCTCCCCCTGACCATTTCCCCCCCCCACTGCTCGGGTCGTGACCCAACTGTCCAGCGCCTCGGGACATCCTCCCGACGTGAAAGATGCTCTATAAATGGAATCTTGTTGTTGTTGCACTGTGCCATCTGTCACCTCCGTTCTTTCTGCTTTGCATCCAACTACCCAAACGTAAACCACTCCTCGACCCTTCCCAGCCTGAATGGCGCTACACACGTGCAAACTGTTTGTTGTTGATCCAGAAGCTTGTAGGTTTAAGGCCCCGCGTTGGGACGTTGAACTCAAGCTGTCCAAGTTGACACTCCAGTGAGGGGAAGCTCTTCGTTGATTGCGTTGTCGTTCTTTGGAAGAGAAAAGTTAAACAACGGGGGTGGATTTCAGGTTGACCTTAGTGTTACGGAACGCCAGAAATGCTACCTACCTAAGCTTTAAAGCATCTACACCTCCAGACGGCAGCGTACCTATAATAATAATAATAATAATAATAATCCTTTCATTGATACAGCGCTTTTTCACGTCTTCTCGACGTCTCAAAGCGCTTCTCGGAATAGACTGCAAAGTGAATACTTGTGGGCGAACGCGGCAGCCAATTGCGCACAGCAGTGGCCAATAAACAGTCGAGGATTGAAAACGACCCATTTATTATTGTTTTGGAGGGATTAGTATTAGGCTGTGTGTGGAGTAAGGAAACTTGCCCAAGGTTTCGCCCTGACCTGCCTGAATCCAGCCCAGATCATTGAGACAATTATCACCATCTTCCCTCAGTTTCAAATCATGCTTCGATTGCGTTCAAAAAAAAAGTTGTCCTACTACTAAAATCCCCTCCACAGCCTCGACCCGCACCCTACATCTGCTACAACGCAGGACAACTCCCGTCGCCTCTTCTGCTCTCCACCCTCTCCAATCCCGAACCCAGAACAGGTCCTATACATTGAAAGTCCAGCACTGTCCGACGTCCTCCGAAAGTATAGACATTGATAGGGCCAAAAGCGAAGCAACGTATAATAAGACTGAAAATAACAACAACAACAAGATTCCATTTATAGAGCGCCTTTCACGTCGGGAGGACGTCCCAAGGCGCTGGACAGTTGGGTCGGGACCCGAGCAATGGGGGGAAATGGTCAGGGTGAGGGGAGGGAAGGGAGGGAGCGAGGAGGGGGAAATGGTCAGGGTGAGGGGAGGGAAGGGAGGGAGCGAGGAGGGGGAAATGGTCAGGGTGCGGCGAGGGAGGGAGGGAGCGAGGAGGGGGTGAAATGGTCAGGGTGAGGCGAGGGGAGGGAGCGAGGAGGGGGAAAAAAAGGTCAGGGTGAGGGGAGGGAGGGAGCGAGGAGGGGGTAAAATGGTCAGGGTGAGGGGAGGGAAGGGAGGGAGCGAGGAGTGGGGAAATAGTCAGGGTGAGGGGAGGGAAGGGAGGGAGCGAGGAGGGGAAATGGTCAGGGTGAGGTGAGGGGAGGGAGCGAGGAGGGGGAAAAAAAGGTCAGGGTGAGGGGAGGGAGGGAGGGAGGGAGGGAGCGAGGAGGGGGTAGAGAGTTGAGAGCGGAGCTGAAGGCTGAAGGTCAAAGAGAAAGGTCTTGAGACCGGCCTTGAAGGAGGAAAGGGAGGAAGCGGTGAAGGCACTGGGGGATGGAGTTCCAGAGCCTCGGGGCTGAGAGGCTGAAGGCCTGACCACCGATGGTAGCCGTTGGGGCGGGGAATGTGGAGCAGACCGGAGCCAGAGGAACGGAGGGTACGGGGGGGGGTATGTGGGGGGATAGTAGGTCGGAGAGGTAGGAGGGAGCGAGGCCGTGAATGGCCTCGTAGGTGAGGATGAGGATCTTGAATTCAAGATAAATAAATAAACAAACATTAATAAGAGATAAACTATCGATTAAGAATCTAATCAAATAACCGATGACAGCTATAAATTAAAACCAAGAGTGAGATGATTCGCAAAACCTTCTGTTAAACCTGAAGTGGTGTGCGCACCGACATTGTGAAAATGTTTTGCAGTAAGTCAATTCACAAGGGCGCTCGACATCATCGCACTTTCCAAACGGAAACTGACGTCAATTCAGAGGAACAGAAATAGCTCCCAAACTGAGAAAGGACATTGCAGTACAGGTTGAGCTGTGGTCAGCGTTTCTGCGGTCAGACGATTAACTTTCATGTTGTCTTGTGGTGGATCATTAGGAGCGACTGAGAATGGCTGTTCGACGCGGGTCTCAAAATAACGCTCTTGGGTCTTCCAAATTTTGAAGCGGAGAGCGAATCGTCACATCCTCTCAGAAACAAAAATGGTCAACGGGAAAATGATGTGCAAGTTTAGACGCGCGCTTTACGAAAGGACAGCTGACCCTGGTGAAACGCCTTGAGCTTCCGCCCGAGTCAAAATGTTTTTAATCGTATTAAAAGAGAGGTCAGGTCACAAAGAACCACTAAGAAAATCCTGGATCCTGTCCAAAAAAAAACAAATGACTTCCCGCAACTCAGCACGATCGTAAGCCGGTGATGGACGTTCAATTGGACTTATGAATCTTTTTGTTGCGGTGTTTCTTGAATTAAGGCAATAAACGGAGAATGCGGTCGTCAGGGCCGCTTGTGAGTTGGGAGGATTGGGGGCCTCGAAGGTCTTCGGTGTAATCAAGTGTCCTCAAACCTCTCTCTCCGTGATTACTTTTAAGCCTACGGGGTTGCATTCAGCAAGGAAACCGTTCCCGCTTACCTTAGTCCACCCTACGTTAGTCATTCGTGCTGACGTTAACCTTTAAGACAGAAGTAGATAATTATTCGAGGAGGACGGGTTTGCAGGGCTACGGGAAGAGATGGGGGAGTAGGATTGAATAACGCTTTCCAAATAGCCGGCAGAGATGCGATGGGCTGAATGGTCTCCGTTTGCGCTGTGTAATTCCATGATAATAATAATAATAATGATAATTCCATAATAACTTGTGGAGTCCTGTCGCTCAGTGGTTGGAGCGCTCGCTCTCCAAAACCAAAACCAATAATAAGTTGGTCATTTTCTGTTTGTGAGACATTGCTGTACGCAATTGGCTGCCGCGTTCGCCCACAAATATACAGTCAATTCACTTTACAGTGTGTTCTGTGAAGCGCTTTGGGACGTCCTCCCGATGTGAAAAGCGCTATATCAAATGCAAGGATTATTATTATTATTATTATTATGATTTGAGGATTCAAAGCACTCTTGAATTTGTTGGATCAGGTCTGCTCACATACTTCTCGATTTGAGTATTTTTGTTTCTGGATGAAGTGTGCATTGATTCCGTCTGTGCCGAGCAATAACTTAATTAATATTCTGTCGCAGGTTAACGTTGCAGAAAAGCAACTGAGGGAATTTACCACAGACGCCTCAATAGATTGCAAGAACGTCTGCAGCGTTCACTGCAAATAAATACGACTGGCGTCGCCGTCTATTTCCACGTCTCCGAACCAAACCGGATTTCCGTTTGAAACACTGGACCACGTCTCTGCTCTTGAGTGTGTATTGGGGGCCTCGGTTTTCGAAGCAGCGAAACGGCGAAACATTCGCAGTCTACCGGGCGATCGCGTGAGTTCCCTCAATGATAATTATCCTCGAATTTAATGTAGTCTATAATCGCTTCGCTGCGGGATGTACCTTCTTCAAATACAATCGCTAGGTTGGCCTCCTCTCCATCTCTTTCCTCTCGCCGTCTCTCCCTCCCGCTGCTCTCTCTCTATCTCTTCCAATCGGCGGCGCGGGTCACAAGCTTCACGGCCGTTGCAAAGGACATGGTTTATAGAATCATAGGTCAGCACAAAAAGAGGCCATTCGGCCCATCAAGTCCGTGCCGGCCCTTTGAAAAGAGCAATGTAATGTCAGTCCCACTCCCCGGCCCTTTCCCCATAACCCTGCAAACCCGTCCTCCTCAAATACCCATCCACCGCGTTTTTAAAAGTAGTTATGGAATCGGCCTCGACCTCCCTTTCAGATGATGCGATCCAGATTAGGACAACTTGTTAGAACAGCAAAGCTGTGTTCGGACAGTGTACAAGGGGAAATTCTGTGTCTCCAGTCTTGATCCAGGAGTGTGGATGGACAGTTTAGAGGGAGCTTTACTATATCTCTAAGCTTGACCTGGGAATATGAATTGATGGAGTAGAGGGAGCTTTTCTGTGTCTGTAACGCTGACCTGGGTGAGTGGATGAAGAGTGTAGAGGAAGCTTTCATCTGCCTCAAACCCTGACATGGGGATTTGAGTGCACGATGCAGGGAAAGCACTTTAACAACAAAAACAACAAACCAACATTTGAATAGAGCCGCTCAGGTTGGGAGGATGTCACAACAGCGCTGGAAATACAGAGTTTGAGATCGGGGAGCGTGGTGGGCAGAGGGGAGTCAGGGAGAACGAAAGCCCGGTCGAAGAGTAGGGTCTTGAGATGGGTCTGGAAGGAGTCAAGGGAGGCGGCGAGCATAGGTACTGTAGGATGGAGGTACAGAGGGTGGGGGAAGGGTGGCAGCAGGCTGCAGCCAGCTGAGCGGAGGTAGCAAGCAGGATGGTAGGGGATGAGGAGGTCGTGGAGTTAGGAGCAATCAAGACGATGGACGGCTTTGAAGTTGATCTTGAGCTGCATCCTCTGTGTAATGGAAAACCAGTTGAGTCGGGTGAGGACGTGGGTGATAGGATGATCTGCAGCCTGCGGCGTGAGGATTTGGGGAGGCCGACAAGCAAAGAGTTTGCACAGTCAAGCCTCGATGTAATGAATGCGTGTATCAGGGGTTTGGCGGCCTGCAGTGTGAGACATTGGCGGAGCCGGGCGATCTTGCCGAGGTCGGCGATGGGGTATTTGAATGTCAAACAAGAGCCCAAGTTTCCAGACAGGCTTAGTAGGGTGGAGTGTGCAACCGTGGATGGTGACTCTGTCAGAGCCTGAGGTCTTGGGACGCTGACGGAAGACAACCAGGAGAGCCTCGGTCTTGCTCAAGTTCAAGTGAAAAATATTAGCTCTCATCCAGGCCAAGATATCTGACAGACATTCTGTCAAGACAGCACTGTGCTTGGAGTCAAGGGTGGAGGCAGAGAGGTAGTTTGGGTTCAGCCGCATACATGTTGGACGTTGACCCCACAAATTATGTCACCAAGAGTGGGCACTTAGTAACGCTGCACGACACGGTGCGGGGGGCTAGAGTAGAAACTGTTTGCGGCTATAAAGTGGAGGCGTTGCGAGACGTATAATCTGAAACACCGAAGGCAGAGCCGTGAAGGTTGAGGTGAGAGGAGAGGCGGTGGATATGTATAGAGTGATCAATGGTGTTGAATGGTGTTGAAAATTAAGAGGGAGTTCAGGAAGGGAGCGGCGAGACAAATTGCTGTGTCTCTAAAGCTGTCCAAGGATGGTGGATGGCGATTGTGGAGGAGCATTCATATTTCTTTAACACTGACCTGGGAATGTGGACCCATTTTGTAGAGGGAGCAAGACCTATGTCTCTTATCTGGACCTGTCAGTGTAGATGGATTGTGCAGAGGGAGCTTTACTGTGTCCTTTACCCTGATCTGTGAGTGTGGACGGGCTGTGTAGAGGGAGATATACTGTGTCTCTAAACCTGACCTGAGAGTGTGAATGGACAGTGGTAGAGGGAGTTTTAACGCGTCTCTCGCGATGAACCAGGAGTGTGGACGAACAGTGCGCAGGGAGCTTCACCGTGTCTGTATCCATGTACAATCTGGAAAGCAAGAGTCGCTGGGGTTTGCCTTGGCAATTTGTACCATTCTGTACGAGTTGCAGAGTTGTGTTCCTTCGAGCCAATAAGAGGAGGGTTTACCTCGTAAGAAAGACAGATATATTAGTAGTTTAAGTTTTAAACAGTTTATTGAGTCCGTCTCTCAAACAAATGTAAAGACCAGCTTCATCCCTTGACTCTTTCTGTTCCTTCCCTTCACCCTGACCATTTCCCCTCCTGCTCCTCCTTCCTCACCTGACCATTTCCCCCTCCTCGCCCTCCTTCCTCCCTCACCGACCATTTCACCCCTCCTCGCTCCCTCCCTTCCCTTCCCTCACCCTGACCTTTCCCCCCTCCTCCTCCCCCCCCCCCCCACCCTACCATTTCCCCCTCCGGTCATACCCCTGCGCGCCTGGACGTCCCCGACGTGAAGCGCTTATAAATGGAATCTTGTTGTTGTTGTTGTAAAGACATCATGTATTGAAACCTTAGGGAATAGGAGCAGCATTTACAGCGAGCGACCAAGCCTGGCCGACACGCCGCCCTACCTTCTTTGCAGAAGAGCGCCAAGGGCGTTTAATCATATATTCCTGCACGCTCTTAATTGGCATATATTATCATTAACTGCTTTACGTTTACACATGATGCTAACAGCGTTTAGATTGCCCATCACTTCCTGGTTACCGAGCTCTGTGTCAAAATTACGCACGAAATAGGACGTTTGGTTCAATTGTGGTTTAAATTTTGCTTGTCCAGGCCCATTCAGTACGATCCATGTTAGCTGTCACAAGCCTTGCTAACCTGGGTGAGAGACCGCGGGAGGATGGTATGGGTTGTTGATGGGAGACCCCAGCGTGCGGATACAAGGATGAGGGAGGCTCCGGTGGGTGACAGTGAGACCTTATTGGGATACGGTGTGGTTGGGGAGTGGGAATGAGAGTAATGAGACCCAATGGGGGAGCAAAGACTCGTTGGGCGAGCAGAGGAAAAGGATTGGAGAGCTTCGGTGTGGGGATCGAGTAATAGCACGGACATGATGCTTAGAAAGAGAGATGGAAAGGAACTGCTTGTGGGTAAGTTTTGGTGCCAAATTTGAATTGGGAAGAAAGTGCTGAGTGAAAAACGAAAGTTATTACATTTGATACAGTACTATTACGTTGGTAGGACTTTTCAAAGCACCTCAACAGATAATTTTGTGACGTGTGTTGATTGTCTATTTGTGGGCAAGTGCAGCAGCCAATCTGCACACCTTAACGTCACATGGACAAGTATGGAGTGAGGGCCTAGTTTTTTAGCTCCCCCACTCGTGCCCACGCTTTTTCCACTCCACCGCTCTTACCTTTTAATCCTGGGCACTTTAGCGTCGAAGCACGTGTCCAATTCTCTTATGAAAGCTACTATTAATACCTGTTTCCACCACCCTTTCAAAAGGTGCATTCCAGACTGCAACAATTCTCCGGGTACAAAAGCAATTCTTGTCGTCTCCGCTGTGGTTCTGTTGGCAATTATCATCATAATATCAAAATCATTTACTCTATGAAGTCCTCTAATAATTGTGAGTAGTTTTATTAATGCTCCCCTCAACCTTTTTTGCTCCAATGAGAACAAAACAAATTTATCTAGTCTCTTGACATAACTAAAGTCCCTCGTCACGAGTACCAATTTGGTAAATCTTCTCTGCATCCTTTACGAGGCCCTGACATAGGTGTTCAAGTGTAATGCCAAGAAGTAAATATAACAACAACAACAACAACAACAAGAAGATTCTATTTATAGAGCGCCTTTCACGTCGGGAGGACGTCCCAAAGCGTTGGAGAGTTGGGTCAGGACCCGAGCATTGGGGGGAAATGGTCAGGGTGAGGGGAGGGAAGGGAGGGAGCGAGGAGGGGGGAAATGGTCAGGGTGAGGGGGGGAAGAGATGGAGCGAGGAGTGGGGAGATGGTCAGGGTGAGGGGAGGGAAGGGAGGGAGCGAGGAGGGGGGAAATGGTCAGGGTGAGGGGAGGGAAGGGAGGGAGCGAGGAGGGGGTAGAGAGTCGAGAGGGGAGCTGAAGGCACGGTCAAAGAGAAAGGTCTTGAGACCGGCCTTGAAGGCGGAAAGGGAGGAAGCGGCGAAGGCACCGGGGGATGGAGTTCCTGAGCCTTGGGGCTGAGAGGCTGAAGGCCCGGCCACCGATGGTCGGGTGGTTGGGGCGGGGGATGTGGAGCAGACTAGAGCCAGAGGAACAGAGGGTACGGGCAGGTAGGTGGGGGGATAGTAGGTCCAGCAAATTTATAAAAGTTCAACATAACTTACTCGCTTTTATAACCTATGCCTCTATTCCAAGAGCTATGGGTCCCATACGCTTTCTCACACTTCCATTACACTTTCGAATGTTTCTGCATGTGAATCTCCAGGTCTGTTCATCTGCGAACTTCAAAGTGCTGCTCACGATAACCAAGTCTAGGTCATTAATATGTATTGATCCCCTAGAGATGGTATTGGGCCCACTCTAGGGGAACCACCGCATGCCTCGCGCCAGTACGGTAAGCAACCGTTCACCGCAATCCTCTGCTTTCCGTCAACCAGACGATTTAGGATCTATGCTCCACTGTTCCTTTTAGCCCATCGATATCAATCTTGCTAATAAGTCTAATATTTGTGTCTAAACATGTCCTCGGAGATTGGATGCGCTGTTTCGACGGAGCTTTACTCTGTAACTGCTCCTTCTGACCTCGGAGTGCGGACGGACAGTGTCGAGGGGGTGTTTCTCTATCTCCATATGTAAACCTTGGAGTGTTGACAGGCAGTTTAGTGAGACTATTCTTCTTTCTCTTAACTTAAACTGGGAGATTGGATGGACATTGGAGAGTGATCTTCGATGTGCCTCTATCCCTGACTTTGGAGAATAGACAGACATTGTCGATGGAGCATTACTCCCTTTCTAACTCTGTTCCGGGAGTGTGGACGGACATTGTAGAAGAACACTTAATATTGTCACTATTGTGACCGGACATTGTAGATAGTGCGTTTCTCTAACTCTAACGTTGACCTGACAGTGTGGAATGACGGACAAGAGGGACCTTGACTGTGACTCTAACCGGGAACTGGAAGTGTGGACGCACATTGCGGTGGGAGCAGTTCTGTGCCTTTAAACCTGACCTGAGAGTGTGGAATGTCAGTGCGGAGGAGGCGCTATTATTGTCCCTTCTTGCGATGTGTGTGTGTGTGCTCACGGATCACGTCGTCTCTCAGCGTGCGCGTGTATTTCACAGGGAAGAGAGTGATTGGGCAAATTGAAGAGCTCAGCGATCTCCTGAGATCTCGTCCATTTGCTTTACCTACGAGGTTGCGGACACGCACCCATCTACGGTCCACGCACACAACACTCCAGCCTATTTTACTGACCAGCTCCGCCTCGTCCTCAGGATGAAGCAACTGTTTGTCATCATTGGTAAGTATTGTTTCTATCCGAATCATAGTGATATCCGATCAGAGACAGGATAGAGGAGACTGGAGTGAGTGGAGATGTGAGAGTAGATGGAAGACCGGAAAGAAGAGAAGAAGAATAGATGAGAGAGGAGCGCGGAGCAAGGAAATAGAGGAGAGAGAAGGGAAGAGAATAGAGGAGAAAGGGGAAGAGAGGAGAAAGTAAATAGGAGGAGAAAGTAGACAAGAAAGAACAGAGAGGAAAGTGGGAGAGGAGATCGGACAGAGAGGAGAGAGAAGACGGGAGAGGGGAGAAGATACAAGAGAGGGACAGAGGAGAGAGGAGAAGAGATGAAGATAAGCGACAGCAGAGAAGAGGAGCGTGTAGACAAGAGAGAGCAGGTGTGTGAGAAGAAAGGATAGAGGAGAGAGTGGAGACGGAAGAGGAGAGTAGAAAGGAGCAAAGAGAAAGAATGAAGGATAGAGCGGAGCGGAAAGCAGAGAAGCGAGAAGACAGAGGAGTGGAGCGAGAGGAGAGCAGAGGGGGAGAGGAGAGAGAGTAGAAGAGCCAGGAGAGGGCATTATGTGGAGCCGTCCCGGTACAAGGGGTTAAAATCAAAAGTGAATGCCTCTGTATCTCGCTTATCCAATTAAAAGACTTGATACTGCTACCCTTCAAAATATTTAGTCCTGCAGCTCAGTGGTTGGAAGACTCGTCTCGCAAGCAAGAGGTCTAGGTCCTGTTCCCGGCAGGTTGAAACCTTGGCCAAGTTTCCTTAGTCCACACGCCTCTGTTTATAGCAGTAAGTGGGAACTGGTTGTCAGTCGATTGGCGGAACTTGTTTTCCGGGGATAATAATCCTTAAAAAAAATTTGTTCACTCACTCCACGACTCTTTCTCGGACAGTGCTGTGTGCAATGGACTGCTGATTTTCGCCCATAAACGTGCAAACAAGTCACTTAACAGGACGTTATCTAAAGCGCTTTGAGGTAATTCGGAGAGGTGCAAAGCGCTGTATTAAATGCAAGGATTATTATTATTATTATGTTATTATAGCGCAGAGAGTAAAGAGGAGAGAAGGGACCAGGGTAGAGGAGAAAAGAGAGCATATGGAGAGCAGAGGATAGAGGAGAGTGGCGAGATTGGAGCAAAGGAGAGAGGAGAGGGAAAAGAAGAGAGAGGAGAAAATGAGGAGAGAGGAGAAAAGGGGAGAAGGGGGAGCGGTGAGTGGCGAGGCGAGTAGAACGGCAGATGGGAGAGTGGGGAGGTGAGGAGAAGAGAGAGAAGATAGGAGAGGAGAAGATAAATGAGGGAGGAGAGTTTGCTGAAGGGACGAGAGAAGAGAGGAAAGGAGAAAGTGTATAGGATAGAAGAACGGGAAGAGGAGGGAGGAGAGCAAACAGGAGAGAATAGAGAGTAGAGTGGGGAGAGGAAAGAGCAGAAGGACGGAGAGAAGAGAGCAAAGAGGAGAGAGGAGAAGAATGGAGAGAGGAGAGGGGAGATAGGACAGAGGAGATGGGAGAGGGAAGCGGTGAGGGGTAAGGGGAGAGCTAAAAGGAGAGAGAAGACAGGAGAGAGGAGAGGATAGAGTTGGGAGAGCAGAGAAGAAAGAAGAGAGAGGAGAGTGGAAGGTGCCGCGAGAGTAGAGGAGAATGGAGAGAGGGGACAGTAGACAGAGGAATGGAGACAGGAGAGTGGAGAGAGGAGGAGGGGAGAGGGGAAAGGGGACAGAAGCGAGAGGGGAGGAGAGGCGAGAGAGGAGAGAGGAGTGAGCGGAGAGCGGGGAGAGGAGATCAAGGCAGGAAGAGGGGAGAAGAAGGGAGAAGAGAGCAGAAGAGTTTCTGCTTCCTGGCCGTCACCAAACCCCATTGGAAACACAAACAATCATCGCGTAGAAGATTGTCGTTCAGCCGGTTGATGTATACACGGGCCTTTGGAAGGGTTTTCCGCTCAGTCCCAATCCCACTACTCTCCCTATCTTTACTGCTTGCTCCCTTCTGGAGCTCGCCACCCCTCACCCCATTCTCCGCTCTCTGCCCGTCATCTGTGCGCCGGTGCTCCATATCACTACTGGAGCTCTCGACTCAATCACATTTGCTGCCCTCTTCCTGTCTTGTCTCGGAAAGTGACAAGTTGGCTGTCCAGGCCCTCCGCGCTGCTCCGCCGTTGAGTTTGATGAGCCTGAACGGTACCTCAACTAATCCTTTCAATTCCCCAAATCCCGCTTTCTCCCCCTGTCCCTTAATACCCCGACTCACCAAAAAATCTATCGAACTGACCCTTGAAGATGTGGATTGATCCAGCGTCCCCGATTCCTCTATTCCTTTTATGGGAGAGAATTCCAAATTTCTATCACACTTTGAGTACAAAAATGGCTATTTCTCGCTCCCCCACTGGAGCTCTCTCTTCTACTCTCGTTCCCTGCTCTCTCACTCTCTCTCTCTCTCTATCTCTCTCTCGCGCGCGCGCTTTCGTTTCTGTGCTAGCGGTTACTCTCCCACTGGAGCTATCCAATCTATTCGCAACCCTCTCTCTCCCTGTTCGAGTAAGGGCTGGTGATCCCTACCCCACTGGAGCTCTCTACTCAAGCCCAATCCCCCGCCCTCTCTCGCTCCATCGTCTCTGTCATCGCGCCCATTCCCTCTGGGTCCCTCTCATGGTAATGACATTAAATGGCTCCCCTGCGGTTAAGGACCGACCGTTCATGCTGGTAGTTACCGGGCATATCGGATCCCTGATTGTGGGAATGATTGCATTAGTAATTCCTGCTCTGATGGTGTTTTATTTTTCTTTGCGCAGTGACACTTCTGGAGATAAAGACGGTGGAATCCGCAGGTCAGTGACACAACCTCACAGCCAGAAGAAATAGCCGCTTCATCATTGGGGGCCGCGCATTCAGCCACGACGCACCGCAACTCTGCCGCGTTCTTGCCCCGTTCGTTCCAACTTCCCCCTTCTTTCTCCATCTGAAGGTGTCGCCTTAAGACCTTCGTATTCGACTACGCCTAAGGTCACCTCCCCCCCCCCCCCGACTCGGAGTTGTACTCCAACACTGTCACACGCTCTGCGACGCTATCCTGTGTGGGTGGTGCTGTGCGTTGTCCACGTGTTGCTGTTCTGGCTGCAGTATTTCTGTGATTTCAGAAGGTATTTGATAAGGTGTCACAAAGGAGGACGACGGAGAAACCCTGGGGGAGACTTCGGGGTCTTGGAGGGCGCAGCCATTGGCTGCCTTGGGTTTCCCGGCGATTAGAGCCGTGCCGGGTGCTGTTGAGGAAGGGGTGTGGGGGCGACTATGCACTGGGGAGGTTCTGGCCATGGTGGGGTTGTGCCTAGCGGTGGCTGTGCCTGGGGGAGGGGGGGTGGGAGGCTGTGCCCTGTGTGGGGGAGGGGCAGTGCCTATGAGGGTGTGACTGGGAAGGGGGCACCTGTTTGAGTCGTTGGGTGTGTGTGTGTGTGTGGAGCTGTGCTTTTTGGGGTCTTTGCCTGGGGACTGAACAAAAAAGAAAAAGTAATATTTATTGTGAAGTCCTGTAGCTCAGTGGTTAGAGCACTCGCTTTGCAAGTGAGAGACCTGAGTTTAATCCCCGGGGGGGTCAGGGCCAAACCTTGGGCAAGTTTCCTTACTCCACACAGAGCCTAATAATAATCCCTCCAAAACCAAAAACAATAATAAATTGGTCATTTTCAATCCACGACTGTTTGTGTGACATTGCTGTGCGCCATTGGCTGCCGCGTTCGCACACAAATATACAGTCAATTCACTTTACAGTGTGTTCTGTGAAGCGCTTTGGGACGTCCTCCCGACGTGAAAAGCGCTATATCAAATGCAAAGATTATTATTATTATTATTATAATGTGGCCTGTGCCTCGGGGTGGGTGGGGTGCGATGCTGGCGGTGTCTGTGCCTGGGTGGGGTGGGGGGGGGTCGCCAGCTGTAACTGCAGTGGGCTGTGCCTGAAGGAAGGCGTGTGTCCTGTGATGAGCTGTGTCGTGAGGAGCTCTTTATGTTTGGGTCGCTGTGCCCTGGGGAGGTGGGGGCTGCTGTGCTGGGATGGTCTGTGCCTTTGTGAGAATGTGCCTTGGTGGGAAGGGCTTGTACCGGGGGTGGGGGTGAGGGGGGATGGGGGGTGTTCATGTGCGAGGGAGTTGTGACTTTTGGGGTGTATCTGTGCCTTGGGCGAAGGACTGTGTCGTGGGCGAAGGCGTGGGACTCTGCTCTGGGGTCGGGCGGAGCTGTGCCCTGTGTGTCAGGAGGCTGTGCCCTCGGGATGGTGGGGTGTGCTGCGCCAAATATGGTGGGGGCTGTGCCTGGGGGGGGCATTCATACCCGGGGCGGCTGTGGTGCCCTTGCGGAAGTGGCTGTGCCTTCGGGATGGGTGGGGTGTCTTGTGCCAAGTATGGGGGGGCTGTGCCTTTGAAGCTGCTGTGGGGTTGGGTAGGGTTTGTGATTTGGTTGAGGGTTGATGCCTGGGGGAGGGGTCTTTTCCTGGAGCGGGTTGTGTCTGGGGTGGGACCGGGCCCTGTCCGAGGCTCTGGTGTGGGGTTTTGTTGTGTCCTGGGTCGGTGATTTCTCCGGTTTGTTTACTTTGCTCTTGGGGGGAATGTTGTGCCGTGTGCGGGTGACGGGACACTGATTTCATTGGCTGTGCCCTGCGGGAGGGGCTGTACCCTGGGAGAGTAGCTGTACGTTGGGGGGCTGTTCTGGGGTTGGTAGCACTGCGCCTGAAGGGGACTGCGCCTGAGTGAGGGGCTGTGCCTCGTTGTCAGCTGTGCCATGTTGGGGCGTCTGTGCCTGGGCGGGGTGGGGGGAGGTTGGGGGGGGGTGTTGATGGGGTGTACCACCGGGCACAGCCACACATAGACATGGATGACAACAGGTACACCCTGGGGGGGGGTGTCGGCTGTGCAATGCGGGAGAGGGGGCTGTGCCTTGCGGTGTGGCTGCGAACTGGGTGCGTGTCTGTACCTGGGGGTAAGAGTGTCTGTGCCTGGGGGTAAGAGTCGTGGCTGGCCTTTGAGCGCCTTTGGTGGGGGGGGGTGAGGTGGGTGGTGGGTAGGGGGGTCTGTGGCTGCAGTCGTGTTGTGTTTGATGCTAAATAGCTATATCCGGCGCCCCGGAGAGATTAGCCCTGAGCTGTGAGGCTGTGGCCAGTATCATCGCGCTCTGTTTAGCGTCCAACACTCTCTGTGTTTGTGCGTAAAGTGAGTAACTTGGACCTCTGACACAAACCCGTCCAACGCTCTCTGTGTTTGTGCGTAAAGTGAGTAACTTGGACCTGACACAAACACGTCCAACGCTCTCTGTGTTTGTGCGTAAAGTGAGTAACTTGGACCTCTGACACAAACCCGTCCAACGCTCTCTGTGTTTGTGCGTAAAGTGAGTAACTTGGACCTGACACAAACCCGTCCAACGCTCTCTGTGTTTGTGCGTAAAGTGAGTAACTTGGACCTGACACAAACCCGTCCAACGCTCTCTGTGTTTGTGCGTAAAGTGAGTAACTTGGACCTGACACAAACCCGTCCAACGCTCTCTGTGTTTGTGCGTAAAGTGAGTAACTTGGACCTGACACAAACCCGCGGCACAAACGTACTAAGGAAAGGACAATATTTCTGTGTAATGGGTACCTGCGCATCTGCCAACAGCGCAACAGCCGATTGATGCGGAGCTGCGATTTGTACCTCGTCGGGAAGGTCTTGCAATCCGATCGTGTCACGGGCACACCGTCGGTGACCGCCTGTCGTCGATGAGCTATAGTTTAAAAAAATCATTAACTGAACCCGAAGATATGTTATTCTGCACAAAAGTAGGGACGGAGGAAAGCGCACACCGTTGTGGAGAGATACGTTTGGACTAATATAACCCGTGGCACATTTTATGGGGGAATCTCCTATCCTTATAAAAAGTACAATGACCTTATATGAAGCATAATAATGTGATGTATAACCCAATATAAAATATAACAATGCAGTATAAAACATAGCTGTCCAATATAAAGTATAATAAGACTCCTTGCGTTTGATATAGCGCCTGATTACATCTTCGAAATGTACCGCCATGCGAATTTTGTGGGCGGAACGCGGCCTTCAACGACACACGGCGCTGACCCTCACACAGCCGTGGGTTGAGTGACCCAATTTTTTTTTTTTTCGAAGGGTTCACTGATCCCGGAGAAGAGGTCCGCCAATTGGCTGATTGGTTCCCACCGGCCGCAAGAGGTCAGCAGAGACGTGCGCGGAAAGCAACTCGCACAACGCTTTGCCCCACCCTAGACCCTAAATAAAAAGTATAACCATCTGGTATAACCAGAATAATTTTATATAGAGTATAGTAATGCTGTCCTTCGATCGCGAACATGATTATAATGACCTAATGTGGCACTGAGGTGTGAGCTGTGAGGCTGCGGCCAGTACCGTCTTGACCTGTTCGGTGTCTAACTCCTACTTACCCGCCCGTACCCTCCGTCCCTCTGGCTCTGGTCTGCTCCACATCCCTCTCCCCAACCGCCCGACCATCGGTGGCCTTCAGCCTCTCAGCCCCGAGGCTCTGGAACTCTATCCCCAGTGCCTTCGCCGCTTCCTCCTTTTCCTCCTTCAAGGCCGGTCTCAAGACCTTTCTCTTTGACCGTACCTTCAGCTCTCCTCTCGACTCTCTACCCACTCCTCGCTCCCTCCCTTCCCTCCCCTCACCCTGACCATCTTCCCCCCCCCCACCCTTCCCTTCCCTCACCCTGACCATTCCCCCCTACTCACTCCCTCCCTTCCCTCCCCTCCCCCTGACCATTTCCCCACTGCTCGGGTCCTGACCCAACTGTCCAGCACCTTGGGACGTCCTCCCGACGTGAAAGACGCTCTATAAATGGAATCTTGTTGTTGTTGTTGTTGAATGTCCGTATCTGCGTATATATATCTGTGCCAATAACGCAATAATTGTTTGAGGGAGAGACAGGGCCTCGTCATAAAGGTCCTGCGTATGTGAATGTCTCGGGCGTACGTCCGGGTAAGCATTGACGAGCCGTATTTAAAATTTGGTTCAATTAAGCTCAAACGTATGATGTGTGCAACAAATTTGTGGCAAAAAAAATCACACACCTCTCTGGAGAGATACATCTGCGTTTGATATTATACATATATATAATATATATGATGTACCAAATTAGAAAACTATGGGCGTAATATTGGGGGATCTCCTGTAATAATATAAAAGTATAATAATATCATAGAAAATATATTAACTTGATATAAGCTATCAAGATAACAATGCTTGTTTTTAATAGAGTGCTCTATCACGTCTCCGAAACGTCTCAATGCGCTTCACATTGGATATTGCACTGTCAATCAGCTGTATGTTTTGTGGGCAAAACACGGCAGCCAATCTCGAACAGCAGTATTCCACGCTCTTGGAGCCCCTGGAGCTCTTGGAGCCCCTGGAGGTCTTGGAGTCCCTGGAGCTCTTGGAGCCCCTGGAGCTCCACCTTGGATCGAGCGAACAAATTATTATTTACTATTTGAAGGGTTTGTTAAACCCGGAAAAGTAATCCGCCAATTGACTAATGGGTTCCTAAAATAATAAGGCATATAATATAAAGTACAATGATCTAATATAAAGCATAATAACCTCAAGTAAAGTATAATGTTATAATAAAGTATAATAATAATAATATAAATTATAATAACAATAGTCTTTGGTTGACATTGTAGCCGCAACGTGGACATCTCAGTAGAGTAATAAGGTGTCACTCTTATTCTGACACTCGGGTTGTGGACTGTATAATAATAATAATCCTTACATTTGATATAGCGCTTTTCACGTCTTCTCAACGTCCCAAAGTGCTTCACAGAACACACTGTAAAGTGAATTGACTGTATATATATTTGTGGGCGAATGCAGTGGCCGATTGCACACAGCGACGTCCCACAGACAGTCGTGGTTTGAAAATGACCAATTTATTATTGTTTGGGATTTTTTTGGAGGGATTATTATTATTAGGGCTGTGTGTGGGGTAAGGAAACTTACCCGAGGTTTGGCCCTGACCTGCCTGCGATTGAACTCGGGTCTCTCGCTGGCAAAGGGAGCGCTCGAACCGCCGAGCGACAGGACTCCACGTGTACGTACACAGCAGTCACTGCCACCGCTGTAATAATTATTATTGTTGTTGAAGGGGTTTACCGCCCCCAGACCTCCTCCCAAAGTGACAGGCGCTTTGCATGCGTGCATTGCGTGGCAGAATCCTGGGTGACTGGAAGTCAAAGCAGGACACGGACTCCTGACGCCGTGTGCGATGTTTTACAGGGAATGCGAGCGTGAGGCTGGCGAACGGCGGCAGCCCCTGTGCCGGGAGAGTGGAGGTCTACCACGACGGACAATGGGGCACCGTGGACGGCACTGGCAAAAGCTACGGCGATCAGGTCTGGGGTATGGCGGCCGCGGCCGTGGTGTGCAAGGAGTTGGGCTGCGGAGCCGCGCTCTCGGCACCAAGAGACGCTCACTTTGGGAGGGGCTCGGGTCCCGTGGTAACGTACGACGTCCGGTGCCGAGGGAACGAGTCTGCTCTGAGGCGTTGTCCCTCACAGAACTGGGGTCACTATTCCTGGTTGTCGCACTCCGACGACGTCGGCGTCATCTGCTCAGGTGAACAATTCGCTCACGGATCGTTTCTCGGGTCTCGCGTTTTCGGTAAACCTCACTTTCGGGAACTCTGATGAAGTGCGTGTCCAAAAAATTTGTTGGAGCACTGGGAGCGGGTCAGCGCGGGGAGCGGGTGAGCGCGGGGAGCGCGGGGAGCGGGTCAGCGCGGGGAGCGGGTCAGCGCGGGGAGCGGGTCAGCGCGGGGAGCGGCTGAGCGCGGGGAGCGGGTCAGCGCGGGGAGCGGGTCAGCGCGGGGAGCGGGTCAGCGCGGGGAGCGGGTCAGCGCGGGGAGCGGGTCAGCGCGGGGAGCGGGTCAGCGCGGGGAGCGGGTCAGCGCGGGGAGCGGGTCAGCGCGGGGAGCGGGTCAGCGCGGGGAGCGGGTCAGCGCGGGGAGCGGGTCAGCGCGGGGAGCGGGTCAGCGCGGGAGCGGGTCAGCGCGGGGAGCGGGTCAGCGCGGGGAGCGGGTCAGCGCGGGGAGCGGGTCAGCGCGGGGAGGGATGAAGGGAGGGAAGGGATGGAGCGAGGAGGGGGGAAATGGTCAGTGTGAGGGGAGGGAAGGAAGGGAGCGAGGAGGGGGTAGAGAGTCGAGAGCGGAGCTGAAGGTACGGTCGAAGAGAAAGGTCTTGAAGGAGGAAAGGGAGGAAGCGGCGAAGGCACTGGGGATGGAGTTCCAGAACCTCAGGGCTGAGAGGCTGAAGGCTCGGCCACCAATGGTATGGCAGTTGGGGCGGGGGATGTGGAGCAGACCGGAGCCAGAGGAACGGAGGATACGGGGGGGGGGGTAGGTAGGGGATAAGCAATGCTTGGGAGAGCACAATGTCCTAAGCATAGGGCAAGAGAGTACAAACGGATAAGCATAGGGGGAGAGATCCCAAGTGGTTACGCACAGTGGGGTTGAAGGCAACTGTGTCAGCTCAGGGATGGGGCGAGTAAATAGGGGGTGAGCACAAGTTGGGTAAGAATAAGGTATTGAGCGCAGTGGTGTGAGAACAAATGTGTGAACACAAGGGAGTTGAGCGCAGGGCTTGAGCACAGGTGGGTTGAGAGTGATGGTGTGCGCACGGTTGTTGGTGAGCAAGGAGTGGGGCAGTGGTATTGACCACAGGGGGAAGCGAGTTCAGTGTAGGGGGGATATCTTGGTGCGTGCGCAAGGATGGGTTACGCACCAGGCTGGGGTGTGCACGGGGGGTGGGGTGTGTACAAGGATGGGGTGAGCGCAGCGCACGGTTGTGTGAAGCACAGGAATGTGAGCCCAATAGAGGTGGTGAGTACAGGGAATGTGAGCCACAAATGGAGGGGAGTGCCAACAGGGTGAGAACAGGGGCTTGAGGAAAGGTGAGTGGGAACAGGGGACTCAGCGGAGCGGGCGGGAGTACAGGAGGGATGAGGACAGTGGGCGCAAGAACAGGGGCTGTGAAAACAGGACAGCGAGTATGGGGGGGTGAACACATAGCGTTTGAAAGGGGGATTGAGCCCCGGGGTTGAATACAGGGGGCGCGGTGTGAGCATTGGGGCTGAGCGCAGTGGGTGAGCACACTGGGGGGTGTAGAGGGGACTTCGCTCGAGTACAGAGGTGAGGACAAGGAAGATGAACACTGGGGTGTGGTGCTGAGCACCAGCTGGTAATCACAGGTGGGTGAGTATAGTTGGGACGGAGAACAAAACGGTGAGCACATAAGGGGCTTAAGACGGGGAGAGGGTGAGTATAGGGATGAGCACAGAGCGGGAGAAAGAAGAGGTGAGCACAGGGGTGTGTTGAGCACATGGGTCTGTGAGAACCAGGGCTGGAAACAGGGGTGGGAGAGCATCAGGTGTGAGCAGAGGGTGTCTGAGCACAGGGGGTCTGAAGGGGCGTAAACATGGGTGTTCTCGCGTGCGCCGGGTGAGCACAGGTGGGGGAGCACAGGTGGATGTTTAGCACTGGGGGTAAGCACAGGGTGTTAGCAGGGGGTGAGAACGAGGGGGGGAGCACAAAGCTTTGAGCACAGTGGGTTGAGCACAGGGGATTGAGCACAACAACAACAACAAAATTACATGTGTAAAGCGCCTTTTCCGTCGGGAGGACGTCCCAAGGCGCTGGTCAGACAGAGTTACAGAGCCGAGTTGGGGGCAGGGATGGTGGACGGTGGAGGGCATGGGGGGGGGGGGGGGGGGGGGGGGAAGCAGGGCGAACGAAAATACAGTAGAAGAGGAGGGTCTTGAGATGGGTCTTGAAGTTGGCGAAGGAGGGGGCGAGATGGAGGGACTGCCCGATGGAGCTCCAGAGGGTGGGGACAGAGTGGCGGAAGGCCCGCCTGCCGAGGGTGCGGGCGAGCGAGGCGGGGGACCACCGGGGTTGAGCGCAGGGAGATGAGCACATGTGTGTTTGGCACGTGGGGCTAAACATAGGGGGTAAAATGGGGGAATGAGGACAACTGTAGGTGAGCAGGGTGATAGCACAGGGTGGGGGGGGGGGTGGTCACGGAGGGGTGAGTACAAGAATATGAGCGCGGTAGGTGGGCACTTAGCATAAGCACAGGGTGGGGGGTTACAACCGTGGGTAGCAGAAGGATAAGTGAGTATGGGGAGGGCAGGTGGGGCACAGGAGGCAGCACAGAGCTGTGAGCACAGGAGGTGAACGCGGGAGGGGGTGAAGGCAGAGTCATATGCGCATAGGAATGGAGTGAGAACAGTAGTGTCATCAAAGGGTGCGGCGCGCACAGGTGTGTGAGTACAGGGGGGGCTGTTGAGCACACGGGTTTAGCCCATGGAAGGGTAAGCACAGGTGGGGCTGGGCAAAGCGGGGCGGGTGAGCAAAGGCTATTGCTCACTAGGGTGGTGAGCACAAGGGTGGGGGAGAGGACACGGTGGGGTGAGCACAGTGGTGAGCACGGGGTGGGGGGAGGCGCTGAGCAAATTTGGTGAGTGGGGGGATAAGTGAGGGCGAGCACGGCGGGGGCGATCACAGGGGAGGAAAGCACAAGTCGGGTGAGTAGAGTTTGTGATTACATTGGGCGGGGTGAGCACGAGTGTGGTGGCCAAAGGTCGGGGTGAGCACGAGTGTGGTGGCCAAAGGTCGCGGTGAGCACGAGTGTGGTGGCCAAAGGTCGGGGTGAGCACAAGTGTGGTGGCCAAAGGTCGGGGTGAGCACGAGTGTGGTGGCCAAAGGTCGGGGTGAGCACAAGGGATGGGGTGAGGAAATGTTGTAGGGCACAGGGGACGGGGTGAGTACAGGTAGGGGCTGAGCCCAGGAGTGTGCGCGCACAAGTGTGGCGGAGCACCGTGTTGTGAGCACAGGAGGGTTAAGCACAAGCTGAGTGAGCACAAGGGAAGGGGATCAAAGGTGGGGATGAGAACAGGGGGTGGCGAACACGGGGGACGTGTGAGCATATGGGGCGAGTAAGCGTTGGGGGGGCCGGTGAGCACGGGGTCGGTTAAGCGCAGGTGGGGCGCAAGCACGAGTGGTGGGAAAGCAGAGCGGGGTGCGAGCACAGGGTCGAGCACAGTGGGGGGTGAGCAAAGGGTTGAGAGCACAGTTTGGGAGGAGAGGAAGGGGGCCTGAGCACAAGGCGGTGATCACAGCGGAGTGATCTCAATGGGTGAGCACAGGAGGGTGAGCACAGCTGTGGTGAGAACAGGAGGTGAGCAAAGTGGACCAGAGCAAAGTTTGGGGTGAGCACAGGTGGTGGACATGAGCAAACGTGTGGGGTGAGAACAGGGACGAGCAAAGGGGGTCGGGTGCGCACAAGGGGAGCGTGAGCACAAGTGCGGGAGAACACATGGATGAGCAGGAGGCCAAACCCAGTGGGGGGGTGATCACAGGGCTGGTTGAGAACATGGCGTTGAGCAAAGTTGGGCAGCGAGCAAAACGGAGGGTGAGCACAGGGACAGGCGAGCAAAAGGTGGGGTGAGCTCATGGGGTGTGGAGCAAAAGGATGGATGAGCACAAGGGAGATGAGAGGATGGGTAGGTGTGCACGGTGGGGTGAGCGCAGGTGGGGTGAGCACGGGGTGTGAGCCCAAATGGGAGGGGGGGCGGGTTGTCAACACAGGGCGGGCGTTGGGGAAACACAGTGGTAAGGGTGAGCACAAGGAGGGTGTGAGCAAAGCGAGGTGTGAGAACAGGAGTGTTGAGCACAGTAGGTGAGTGACACCAGGAGTGGAGACACGGGGGTGGGGGGGGGGGGGGAGTGGGAGCATAGGGGAGGTGAACGCATGGTTACGGGCACAGTGGTTGAGCACACGGGGAGAGGAGAGCACAAGGGGCTTCAGCACATTGGGATGATCGATCATAGTGGTGATTGAGCACAGGGGAAGATAGGCACAGTGTGGTGTGTGAGCACAAGGGGGGAGAGCAAAAGGGAGTTGGGGAGAGGGCTGTGGGTAAGCACAGATGGTGGGCGAGCACTGGTGTGAGCACTGGTGTGTGTGGAGGTGGGGGGTAGACGACGAGCACAGAGTGAAACGTGGGGGGGTTTGATCGCAGGGTTTTCAGCACAGGAGGTGAGCACAGGGGCGGGAGCCCAAGGGCTTGAATTCAGTGGCGCGTGGGGAACGGGGTGGGACGCGAGCAAAACGGAGTAGCACAGAGTGGGGCGAAGGAAGGGCTGTGAGCGAAAAGGTGGGGAGAGCACGGGGGTCGCGGGCAGAACGGGATGGTGAGCACTGGGGGCGAGTGAGCACAGTGGGCAGTTGAGCACAGGGCAGGGGCTGAGAACCGGGAGGCAAATCCGCACCGGGTGCGTGGGTGTCAGCACAAGTGGGAGAGCGCAGGGCGGGGTGAGCCCAGTGGGGAACAGAGTGTGGGTGAGCACGGGATGGCGAGCACGGGGTGGGCTGAGCAAAACGGGGGCTTGAGCACAAGGTGGGTGATCACGGAGGGGGGCAGGTGAGCAGAGGGGGCAGCTGAGCACGGGGGTGGGACGAGAACAGGGGGTGAGCACGGGGTGGAGTTGGTGAGCCCGATAGTGGATGAGCGCAAAGCGGGTCTCAAGAGGGGTTGGTGAGAACAGGGGTGTGAGCACAGTGTGTCGGGTGAAGGCAGTGGGCAGGTGAGCGCAGGGTGGGCCGAACACAGGGGTATGCGCATAAGTGAG